AATAAAGTGTTTGATTGCCATCCATTCCACAACACAAAGGCCCTGAAGTATAACCATACACATGTGCCAGTGACGCAGAGCCACCTTTTTGTTGTTTCACAGTTTGCAATGTTGTGCTATAGTAATGATAACTAACTAACATAAATTGCAGAACGGACATGTAGCTTTATTTTCAGTGAAATGTCAAAAAGATGGTGTGGGTCATGACCATTTATTTTGTGAGACGTTGTTTGACAATACAATAGGCTACCACATAGAAAACAAATCCTCAAACAACAGTGTTGTTTGCCAGTTCAATTAATAAGTGTGAAGGTGTGAAGTGAACAATATAAAAGCTTAAAAGGATTTGTAGCTGTTGAATAAAATATTACATTTTTTTATAAGCATGTTGCTGTGGCAGTATGGAATAAGAAATGTTTTCCCCCACCTTTCTTCTTAGCTCAAAGTTACTGTTTTGAATTATTAAAAACAAAAGTTCACAACATTTTGATTAAATTACAATCTTAGTGTGAAGACAAAGTAATTAATAACCTTCATGGGAAATTGATGAGCAGACTTATGACTGACAACAGTTCAGTCATTAGTCTGGGTTAGATGCTGCAGAGTGTACTGTGCCATAGATAAAATACATGGCAATACTGTGAAAATGTGATGATTTACCACGCTGGGAGACGTGAAGATGTTACGATTTCATCCCTTCAAACGTGACAGACAGTTACACGGTATTGTTAACATGGCACACCAGTGCAGAAATACCCGGATGTTGACAAGCAAGCCTTTATCACGACTTTTGGTTCACTATAACACACATTTTTGTGGAGAATACGAAGATTCTTGTCAAGGAAATGTCTATATACTGGTATGTTACTAAAGAGGTTTTGGATTGGCCAGTGACCATGTGAAGTTATCGCCATCTCTCGGCGTGAAAACAGTATTAACACGGGAAATAGGCCTACCGTGTAACTGTCACGTTTGAAGGGACGAAATCGTAACAACTTCACGTCTCCCAGCGTGGTAAATCATCACATTTTCACATCTTGCCGTGATACCGGGTTGAGATGGATAGAGAAAGGTTTATGTGCCAGAGTTTTTTTTTTACAGTTTTGGGTCAAATTGTTGAAGAGCAAGTACACTTAGATTGTATTGGCTGATAGGTGCAGTTGCAGGTTTGGTAACTAACTTGAGAATAGATCTTGTTATTGAAACAAGAGATGTTGATAAGAGGAAATAACTGTTTTACCTGGAGAACTATATTGGTTGGATTTCCTTAAAGGTGAAATCAGTATGTCTCAAATGATAATATCAATTAATAGGCTATTAAGATATAAGACAGTAATAGAGCAACATACCTGAGATGCAGACAGTTAAAGGTCTTGATAACAGCTCTTGCCATAGAGGATAATAACCTGAGTCTTCTTTGAATTTCAACAGTGCTTCCTCGAATCAATTAATTTAATTTGAGTTGCTCTAGGACGTGTGGCTCTCTGAAGTTTGGTTTTAAAGGCCTTAACAACAATGTTGTAAAAGTCATTATAGGATGCTGTGGCCTGCAGCACTATCACACAAGACTAACATAGGTTACTGAACATAGCACTGTGGATCTTTCAGCATTTTGTCTCTTTGGTCTGATAAACATTAAGTGATATCTGCCAATGTGTAATTTCTCTGACAAATGGTTGTTGTAAGTCTTCCTGGCTCAGTGATGTCGGGGCAGCTTTAATGGTATGCATTAAGTGCATAATTGTTAGAAGCAGGGTGACTTCTGTACTTGCAGTTCCTTTTTGACATTGCTGTTGAGTGAAAAGCGTATGCAAACAAATATCAAACGAACCATCTCATTGGTCTGGTCTTCAGTAAAGCCAGAATACGACAAGAAACACCTTTCTGAGTTATACTTTCACATCAAACAGGCAGAACTTTCAACGATGCTTGAATTTGGCATGATTAAAAGAAACAAATGGAATTATAACATAATTGAACTTGCACATGTTGTAACTGGCTGATAAAATAATAGGACTTACCCATAGGCGTCATTTGCGCTGGGGACGCTGGGGACATGTCCCCACCACTTTTTGGAATGGCCATTTTTGTCACCACCACTATACGTATAACTTATACATGTTCTGAAAAAAAGAGTGCACAAAGAAATGTAATAAACAATAACACTGGTTTAGTGTCAAGATGTGCAATTTGGACATTTTAGTAAACTTTTAACCCTCCTATTGTCTTCGTTTCCCCCCCCCCTTACTTTGGTGTTGGCGGTCAAATTTGACCGGTCCTGTTTTAACTGCTACTACATTAACACAAAAACCATTAATCATCACCAAATTTAATTTAACACCCTTTCAAACTGTAAATATTGTATCAGACTACTGGTATACATGAAAAACTGCAGTAAATATACAAAGAATAGACACTGAACATGTATTGCGTGTGCCAGGTGTGATCCATGTGGGGGGATGGGCACATAAGAGCGGGAAATGTGTCAAATTGTTCTGTGTGTGTATGTGTGTTTGTGTGTGTGTTTTATCTGATCCGGATGGTTACTAATTCCTTTTCTTTATGTCATCTTTGACCGGGAACACCATGGGTGTTACAAAGTTGACTAAATCATCCAAAATTCAATGAAAGAGGTGATCAGCTATTTAATATGTTCAAATGTCTACTGTGAAGGATATCATAAAGCCTTAATGCAATCGAATGTAAAACAAAAAAGTTATGATTGATGAAAGTAGTAAATCGGTCAGATTTGACCCGAAGACAACAGGAGGGTTAATAGAAAATGTAAAAACGTAGGCCTACTTTGCTCCCGCTTTGCAGCAGCAGGGCACAGACACTGCACTTAAAAAAAAGTTAAAAAAAAAAAATTCCTCCTTACTCTACTACTGACTCTAAAATGACCCAAAAACATGCTTGCGGCAATGTTGTTTGGCCTGTTTCCCTGAAGTAAAAGTGGTCTGTTTGGTTTATTTTATTTTCAGAGAGTACTAGAATGCGTAGTTTAAGGTCCCATGTCATGGCCATTTCTACTGATCATAATTCCATTGTTGAGGTATACTAAAATAGATTTATATTGTGCAATTTTCCAAAATCACATTGGTTTCTCATACAGCATCTCTGTATAGTATGTGTATTCACTCTCTGTCCTAAACGGCTTGTTGGAGTGCCTGCCCCCCCCCCTCCCTATGAGCCCAGTGGCCGTCTGCAAGACAGCGAGACACAGCGAAACCCAGCCCGAACACACACACACACACACCCGCAGCCTGGCTAGGAGTTACGACTCACAGCTTCGCGGCGTCCCGCCGTCTCAGGGAGGAGAAATCGGCAGAGCTGCAGCTGAGAAAAGATTGAGTGTGTGTGAGGAAGTCCGCGGATTGGTCAATTTGGACCAATCCACAGACTTAACGTAATGGCTCCGCGGACGTAACGTAACGGCTCCACGGATTGGTCCATTTGGACCAATGGGTCCATTTGGGTATGGGCACGTCACTGTACCCAGGAAGAAAAAGAGAAATCTCCAACGAGGCGTTCTGGGGCAGCATAGACAGGTATTTTCTGTGTTAGAGTTTAATTCGCTACAGGGTGTACTTTGAGGGTTTGTGACTTTGCAGACCGTTTACATGCAGAAAAACCTTCATAACACACAAGGGGACGGGTAATAACCGGAAAAGCATGACATGGGACCTTTAAAAGAAACAATTAAATCTTCTGGGCCAGGATCCCCCCAGACCCCCTTGCAGGTGTTCGGTTTGCAAACATCGTTCTCAGAACATGTGAGTGTTCATTTGTCTCCGTAGAGAACACTGTAACTGCAGTAATAAATAGAATGCAGTAGTTTTTTTTTTTTTTATTGAAGATTTCTTCCCATGTAATCTCATTTGTATACACAGTAGTATACTGTAGTACTACTGCAATAGTATCAGGGCCGCCCCTCCCACCAGACCAGGTGTTGGTGCTGGATTTGGCACCCCCACTGTAACTTTGTCCAGGGTAGTCGCACTCCCACCAAAATCACATTGGTGTTTGCTGTCTCCCTCTAGTTTGTGCACACAAAAGCATTTTACTCTGGGCTAAGCAGGTGAGAAACTAAAGAGGCTTTTAAAATATTTGTTGAAGAGGGAAGAGTTCTCCTTGCACTGTGTACAACTTGACACGAAGCTTACAAATAAAAGTGGTACTGGTCAGAGGAAGTGAAATAAAATATAACAGCAATTCAAAGATATGGTTAAAGACACGTGCAATTGTTGACATTTTCAGAGCAATTGAAAGTATAAAGGTTGTCGTATCCACAGAATACAAGGCTACCAAGCAAAACAACATTGTGTGAAACACGCACAAACTTACATTAATAAATTTATAAGAAAATAAATGTAGAAATACATTCAATATATATAATGTGTGTTCTGTTTTATTCTCAACTTATATCCTTTTATTTATACATGTATTTCCATATTTATCTATTTTGTCTTGTGTTTATTTATTCCTGTATTTATTTCCATACTCATTTATTTATTCCTGTATATATAAATGTTTTCTTGTGTTTATTTATTCCTGTATTTATGCATTTTTTTTTATACTTATGTCATGTTCTGTCCTCCAAACCTGTGTGCTCGTTGTGTGCATAAAGGTACAAATTCACTCAAAATCACATCACAGCAAGACCTATAGTTGGGCGTTCATTGCTCTAAAAACACATTGGTGGTCCAGACTAGAGGTTTATGAATTGGTTTTTCATGCAGGTGCTCTTGGTTCAACACCCACAGGAGTGGAACATATTTTGTCTTCTGCTATGCTGACGTTAAATCTGGAGAAATGCCCCCACCACTTTTTTTTAACACAGTGACGCCCATGGATTTATCCCTCTTTTCTAAACTTTTGGTCACGAGAAGTCAGTGTAATGCTTGCAATGACCAGCAGGTGACAGTAAAGCAGCAGATCGAGAAAACGTCAACGATAATCTCGCGTTACTTGTAGCGTCACGTCATTCCATGATGGCTGAAGATCCTGGCGGAACATTTTTCAATTTCTCTCTCATTTTTCTTTCTTTCTTTCTACCCCGGCTTGCCATAGCGACATGGCAGAACCAGCAGGCCCGTTAAGCGTCCACAGATCATTTGTGTCGATATGCCCAAGAAAGGGAACAGAAAACGGCTGAAATTTAAGGCAGGGGACGTTTGTTCGGAATCAGGTAGGTTACTCTTTCATTAGCAAGCAAGCTAACTTTAGCCCGCCCACTGTTAGCATTCCCCGGCCGGCTTCCCTCTTCTGTTTACATAATCGAGTTGTAATTATGTGTTCAGTGTTAAATGCATTATAGTTAAACACGAGGACTTGCCAAGATCAACTTTAGAGTTTCTTTTCCAGTAACGTTATTAGCAAAAACCTCTCTTAAAGAGCACCTTCGGGGGAGCATTGCAAAACTGGCCCCGGTAATGGTACAAATCTCAACCTGTCGTACAATGGACAGCTTCCCCCCCCCATCTATGTATATACTCGCATTTTAGACTCTGTTACTAACTGTATATCTGTAGACTTGGTATGTCTTAAATGTCCGGTTAGGATGTATTAGAACGAAATCTAAAATGAAAATTGTAAATAAGCCATCTGTATGTAAAAAACCACCTGTATGTAAATTGTAAATAAGCCATCTGTATGTCTAATATGTCTTATATGTCTTAAATGATATGATGAATTGGAAATGGGGGACCCTGATGTAAACAAGACGAAAGTCTTTCTCTGGTCTGCATCCCCTTAACAATTGTATGTTTTGAGCTGTACTGTACTGTACCCATTATACAAGCTGTTAATAAACTTTTCAATCAATCAATCAATCAATCAATCAGCAAGAGCCAAAAGGAATATAACTGTACATGTAACTCATATGACAGGTGGGCTGTTAGTTACCTAATTTACCGCCACTAGTGGTCATACTACGGTCTGCAGTGGTCATGTCATGTTATCAGTACATATAACTTTTAACAGTATAATCATAAGGAAATAATTGTGTTCTTGCTAGTGACCGTTGCTGATTATGCTGATGCCGACCCAGCCGTTGTGAAGTCTGGGAGGCTGAAAAAGGCTGTTGCAAATGCAGTTGAAAAAGAAGGTAAGCTGATGTGCATTAAGGCTGTGGTACACCTCAACAGATATAAAGGAGTCTACTGTTGTGCCGTCTCACGTTGCCTTGCCTTGGCCAAAAATTCTTATTTGAGCCATAGATTTGAACACCGCTTCAGTGACTGCAGCCAGAGACGACGCCGCACTGAGAGTCAATATCCTGAATCTGTGTCACGTGGGTTTCGCCCCTCCTCGTTGGGATGGGGGGCTTTTAAATGACTAGCGACAGGTTACAATCCATTAAATATTTTGGGAGAAGTGAACGTGAAAACAGATTATAACTATTATTATAGACTGTATGATTAGGACCGATCCTTTCGCCACATAGTCACCAGATTAAATAGTTCACCTATTTCCGCAAGCCACATATCTTCCGGACTTTCTCCCAAATTACATTCTTCAAACGACACATCTGGAGAAAAATGTACTTTGCTTGAGACAACACTTTCTGATCTCAGCAACACACACTTGCAAGATCTGGCAACACAGCACATCATTTTCCAGCTAGCACCTGAAAATGTTTTCAAACGCCCTATATAACTTACATTTGTGATGCTGGAAATGTTTGCTTGTTGTCTAAATATCAAATTTTTAGCTAAATAAATGCCTGGACAGATAATTTAAGTGCGTTTTTCCGTGTTTCAGTAAAATTACTGTGCGGCCTGGAAGCATCTCATGGTGCTGTAGAGGAGGTCCTCTCGTCTTCAGTGAGTGTCGCAGCCAACGCTTTGGACAGCAGTGATGACCTCGATCCCGAAGAAGATGGAGAAAACGAAACTAAAGATGCCAGCAAGAAGAAAAACAAGAGGAGAAAGGGTATTATTTGTTTAAAGTTTACTGAGAAAATGTATGAGATGAAAATGCAGGACCAAAGGTTTACATGCTTATTTTTTTCACAGAAAGCAGTGAGAGCGGTGATGGCGGGCAGTATCCAGTGGATATTTGGTTAATGCTTGCCTCCTACATTCGGCCTGAGGATGTGTGCAGATTCGCTCTGATCTGCAAGAATGCCTGGACTGTCACTTGCACTGGAGCTTTTTGGACCAGGATTTACAGAAGGTGAGGTGGTTTTATTGGTCAACTGCGTGCAAGTCAGTGGGCACCAGCCAATATTTGTGTACAGGTTACTGTATAGTGAACCAAAAAAAACTCCAGGCTTTCATTTACTATTTTTTTTGTATTACATTACATATTAACAAGATAATGTTTTGAATGTGGTAAAATAAGTTAGCAGAAAAAAATGGAGTAAACTGACACTTTGTTTAATTAACATGTTTTCTCTCCCTTTCACCTTCCATCTCCAGGCACTACAAGATTAATACTGACCTGCCGTTACGTCTCCAGCCTGACTGCATTGACAGGATGGGCTCTTTACGTGCACGTGTGATTCGCTCCCTTTTCCATTTCTATGAGCCGTTCAGCTTGCGTGTCTCGAAAATTCCTACCCTGCCAGAATCCACGCCCACAACCTTGCTTAACTCCAAGGTAAATTAGTTGATTTGCAGTCAGTCACTTTACTATACAGACATGGAGCTAAAGTATTGTTAGTCCTTGTAATTAATAGATCTGCCTTTTTCATGCAAGTCGCTCATGGCTAACCAGGCTATCCTCAACCACCCTTGTTAGGCTAATGCCGGGTAGCTCAAAGGCCATACTGATTTAGACTAAGTTCGCTGCATTATAGAACCTAAATTATTTATATGTATTCATTATGTCTCGATATTTCATTTTTATTTTCAGAAAAAACTAGCCTCTCACTGTGCAAATGTTGATGTTATATGCTTAATGTTCCCTGTTGCAGTGTTTACTGTCCTGGGTCAGAAAGGTTTCAGGGACCCGGCCTGAGGCATTATGGGAGTTCAACTTCAAGTTTCTTAAGCATGTAAGAAAAACATTTAAAAAACCAAATTAACTTATTTTGTTTTGATAACCTTTTACATAGTCAGTCGTTGTTTCTGCCGTCTTGTTTATTTTCGTGTCTTTCTGTGGTCATCTCCCTCGCAGCAGGGACACAGTAAGAATGGTTGTGCCAAGTCCTTGTGTCTGCCAAGACAATACGAAGATGTCCACCTGAACCCAGACTCTGACTGCTACATGCTTCAGGTCACCACCCTCAACTTCATCTTCACCCCTGTGGTCATGGGCATGTCGCTATCCCTCGTGAGTAACTCAAATATGATTTTTTTTTTTATGAGGCCTAGTGATTAGGACATCATGTTTATGACTGAGACTCTATCATTACATTCTTGTAAGAATGAGTTTATCGGTTTATTGAGGCCACATAAAAGATCAGAATGGATAAAGACAGACAGACATGGGTAAATCTCCTTCAAAACATTCAGAATATCTTCCCCTATTTGTCATGTTATGCTTACAACTGTATTTTTATTTTTGGCAAATTAATCTGCTTTGGCCTATATTATCTTCCGCACAAAGGATATAATACAGTTTTGGATAATGGCTGGTGTACCAGGTATCCTTATCTCCTCTTCTGATCCAAACTTGTCTGTTTCTCTTCTTGTAGTTCACAATCAACGTTAGCACAGACATGCGCCACCACCGTGTCCGCCTGCTGTTCCAGGACTCTCCGCTCCGGTGGGGGAAGAAGAGGGGGGATCAGGGCGGCACCCAGGTGGTGTTGGATCCCGTACAGAGTGTAAAGATCATGGAGTGGTGGCACCCACAGTACCCCTCCTCAGCCTTTATATAGGAGCCATGCCCTTCTGGCAGGACGTCAATTCAATGAGAAGTCTGCAGATATCTCAGCCTGACTGCTGAACCATGGATTAGGTTTATTTACTTCTTTTGGAACTTACTATCCCCATCAACATTTTTTAATCGTCATTGTTGGATAAAATTGTTGTTAAAGAAAGTCAATATTTGATGGCCATAGATGGGATGGAAACCCCACTCCCATTTTCAAAATCAAACGTTGGTGCATGCCCATCCACCACTGCAACCTCCACACCCAGCGTTTAGTGTTATTTAAGCATCATCATTTATCCCAGATGTAAATCATGTCCTGCAGAATTGTCCACTGTGAAAAATAACTCTTAGTAATATTAGGGCTTGTTATGTATAAAAAAACAAATCTGCCACCTCCACAGGTGAACAATGGCAGTACCCTCGACAATTTATAAAGAAAAACTACAAAAGATTAGTAGTAGTTTCTCATTCGACAGCTGAAAGAAATCAAACGTCAAATTGCTTTGCATTGTCATCTCAAAATTAACTGACATGATCACAGTGGTATTTGATAGATGATAAATATTGATTTATTGCCCAGCCCTACAGATATGCCAGAGGAACATGTACATTCAAGCTCCCGGTTGCATTCAAAGACTCAAAATCTGGCGTTATTTTACATTCGAGAACATGTTGCATATTGAATCTACATGTGTCACACAAGTTTTATTTTTAACAAGTGAATGGATCGGTTCAAGCATTTGTTCTGCCCTCCCTTTTTTTATGCTTACAAAATCTTTATTTTGCGTTTTGACAAAGTTGCAGCAAGAAAGTTGTGTTATTTTAAGATCATGTGTTTTGCTGATATATTTAATTAAAGGCAGCCACACTTAGTATTATGTAAATATTAATGACACTGCGTTTCACACAAGGGGACAAAGAGATGATTTACCTCTGATGTCGTCATCTACTTATCTCCTGATCTGGGCAATGTTTGATTTCTTGTGTTTTTTGGCTTATAAATTATCTTGTTTGTCTCCCTGCTGACTATGAGCCATGTACCATACTGTCTCTCTTGTAGAATCACGTTCTCAAATAATTTGAAGTGGTCTGTCTTATGAGTCTTGTATGTGAGTTGAATCATACCAATCACATTCTTGAATTGTATTGGGAGAGAGCTCTCATTTATATTAATCTATCCATGGATCAGAAATAGTGGAAGCTATTTAACCTGGATTGATTTGCATCTATTTGTGCATGAAAACATATTAAATTAACCACAAACATTTCACACTGATGGAAAAAAAATAAAGATAGCGGCATATTCTGATTAGCAGCAGTTGTTTGTTTTATCATGAGTTGCATTGATAAATAAAGTACACTGAAATAAAAACTCAAACTGCCCATTCAAAATGGATTCAGTTATGTTTTAGGAAATGTTGATTAACTAAACATTCAATATTTTTTTAGAATTTGCTTCCCTATTGTTGTCCTATTGGGTACTACCGGTGTGCTCTAACATTAACTGAATAAAATAAGGCTCTCCTTCACATTGCTTTATATGTAAGAATATGCCATATTTCCTTCAGAAACAAAACAGCACTTTATACAGAAACCTGGATGGCACATTTCCTGAAATACAGCTGTGGGACGTCAAGATGGTATTTACAACTACAAATAAACTCATGCCTCCTGTCAACATGCCGGATATATAAAACAGACAGAAAGTTAGAGTTAGACATGGATCAACAGTATATGGGACCTATTAAGAGGTTTAACATAATACACAAATTAGCCTCAAATAAACAAAGATACTGTCAAGACAGTTTCCACTAAATTGTTGAACACTTAAGAATTTGAAAATATACTAATGTATTTTATTTTATTGTATTTTAAATGGTTTCCATCAAATCCCTGCATCCTAACACTGACACATCACACTGAAACAGGAATGAAACTAAAATGCGTCATAAATATGAAACAATATCACTGAAAGAAGCGTCTCAATTGCAGGCGGTTTAAAACAATAAAGTTGTCTCCGTCCGAGTTGTTCTTGGAACTCTTCAGCTAAAGTTAGAGGACCTCATAAAACTCTGCAGTCAACAGGCACAACGTCATCGCCTCGAAATACCGCTCTGTCGAAGATATGAAGAAAAACTACATTTCCCACAATCCCGTCTGCGCTTTGCCATTGGTGGTGGCACAGGCGACCGCAGACGCTTTGTGTTATGACAACATCTCGACGGACAAAACGAAAACAAATTAGCCTCCGAAGTGCCAGTGGTGGTGGGTGGTACACGCCGTAGCAGTCTGTGGAAATACAGAGAAACTTGAAACTCTTAGGAGCTTTTTGTCCTCTTTAACACGTGTTTCTCTCCCGATAGTCGCTGCCGGGTTCGGTATTGTCAGAGCGCATGAGAGAAGTGGGCACGCACTTTTGGTGAACCTGACTTCTTTACTTCGGTCTGTCTGACCTTCAGAGCTGGTAAGTGATATTTTACTTTACCACCACCACTGAAAAATAGCTTCTGCAAATACACTACTAACTCTAGAAACCCCGGCGAGCATTAATTCAAATTGCGTATTTCCAGATTGAAATGCAAAATAGAGCGATATAGAGAATAATTTAGTTTAAAATGAAAATGATCTAATGTATCATAAGTCCTTAGGCAATTGAAGGCATCACTGTCTTTCTGCTAAATCATCGCACAACTAGTTAAACAACACTTCAGGCTTTGTAGACTAGACGTGTAACGCTAGTAACATGCTGACAGCTACTGTCCTTAAACTTAACATAGCATCACAAATCAAAGTGCATCATTCGTTAAGTCTTTGCTTCCAGGTCATGATTATGTTATTATGAATCCAAATTGAATAATTGTTGAACATTTAGACATTCAAAAGTTTATTTAAAATACAAAAAAATGAATAATTGCACAAAGTAATTCACTTAATAGTATGAGAATAGCACACATTCACATTTAGCTGTTAGCCTTTTTGGAAGAGGACACTGGTACCACTTTGGGACCCACTGGTGTTAGACCCTAATGCACCACTTTCCCCTTTTTACTGTCATCAGTAGAGAGCTCTTGCCATTTATAAGCAGTGGCCAGCCTGTATCAGTAACAACACCTCAGCCCCGGGGTATGCTGCTATGTATAAGCTGTGACTGTCAACTGTACAGACTATACTCTGCTGCGTATTCAAGTGCTTTGCTTTAAAGTCCTGCATGGTGCAAACATAAAAATAATGGAGGCAGCACTGACTATTTATGCCCCCTTCATCCCCTCTGCAGCATAATTTACATACTGTGTGTTTATTTGTAGTGTGCCTGCATGCAGAGTGAATTATGTATTTAGCCTGATGCTTTCCAGTCATGCAATGTCAACGTTTTATTCCAGTTATAATGTTGTACATATACCGGGAGTTTAGCTGTGATTTTAAAAGGAACCTCATTCGTTAACTATTGCATCAAAAGTTGCTGCATTAAAGTGTGACATATGTATTAATCCACCTCAATATTATGTGTTGTTCCCTCACTTTTACAATACCTAATGACCTACCATGATAAATATAAATATGAAGATTTACCACAGTTAAGGTCCAACTTTATCCCCTCCATAGTCTGTTGGAAGTCTGTAGGCCTGTCTCTCTAGATTATGTGTACCATCTAAATCACACCAACCAAGTGTTTGACACTTCACCCTGACCCCTGACCTCTCCGATCGGCCTCTGTGATCATCTTTAGCCCTTAACAGAACCAAATCATGGTCAGAGTCAGAGCAGAACAGCGTCAATAGGTCTGAATATAGCTTATAACTTTCAAGTTTCTACTTATATTCATGACTTGACTACTTTTGTTTTTACTTCTTAAGAAATGTCCCTTTTAGCTTTTAGCGAGAGCGTTAATCTAGAGACCATGTTGTGTTAGGAGATGCTATGATGACAGCTCATAAAGTGAGATGCCCAAAATAGAACATCTCGAGCACAGCAATCCCATTAAACTATGTATATGATTATTTATGACATAGATTGTGAAATAGGGCTTTGAAGGAACTGAAGCCATGGAAAACCACACAATAACCATTTAAAAAAGGGCACTAATCAAACAATCAGCAATTAATAATCATTTTAATGACTTTGTATAGGTAGAAATATGCCTGTTAGGTAAAGTAAGGTGTTTCTTTAAATTCTGCTTTCAGTTGATTCTAGGAAAATAAGTGTTTCAGGGAAGTTGCGCAGGATCACTGAGGTCAACCACACTCACAAATATGAGAATTATAACTGTACATGAGAATAGTTTATTTGGCTCAGGCAACCACAGTAAATGCGTATTAACATTCATGAATATAAACACTCACAGACACTGAGTGAATGAGTTGTTGGTGTGAGTTAAGGCCATAGTACTGGAGTGTATTTTGTTCCACATAAAAATGAAGTAGCACGCAAGTTAGTTCAGCAGTTATGTAGTCACATGGTTAAACAGGAATTATCGTTCTCCTGGACAGATAAAATAACTTTCTCAAGCTATCTTTGTTTGGTTGCCTTTTCACCTCCTTTATCAGCCTCTCCTCATTTCAGCGAATCCATGAATGAATGAAAACATTTCCGTTGTGTAAAAAAGATATATCTACTCTTTTGTGATCTGGCACAAAACTGTCTGAAAATGTGACACTAATGTAGTGCTGCTTCATATCAATAAAACAATTTAAAGTTAACTATATCCTCGTTATTCTATCATGTGCCTCTTGGCGTAATTATATAATATTCTTAAGAATGTCTCCGAACTAAAATCCTGTCAAAAAGATCACAGAAGATAACTTACAATAAAAGCTGCCTGCAACACAGTATCAGAAAATCTTTTAAAGCAAACGTTGGACGTCATAACCAGTTGTGTTAGAGAAAAAATGATAAAGCAGGGTGTCTGTGTAGCTGTTGAGACCTTTACCTGCTCACTCTCTCCCTCTTTGCCAACACAAGCATGTGAACAGAATAGAAACAGGGAAAAATGGGACACATGCATATAGAGGAGTCGTTGGGGTTATTGAGTGCACACACAGTACGAAGGGTCAGGGGTTAGTTAACACACTGAGCGGTGAGGTCATTGTCAGCAAGGTCAGAGGTGACCGGCCACTATGTTGAGCAGCAGTGATGCCTGGCGGACTAATCACACTCTCTCCAAAAGAACAGTAGCAACCTGCTCAGATTACAAGCAAGGAAAAGATAGTCCAGTTTCAAGCAATACAACCGTCCGCAGAGGGGACCGTTTTGTCCATCTAAAATATTGGAATAACCAAACTACTGGTTGGATTTGAGCATAACTTTTCATAGCTTGTGTAACCTTTCTGTGTTTGAAGGTGAACAATCTTGTCCCACAAATGCACACGTAAGCACAAGCTTTACATCCTGTGTGTATGGAAAAGTGTGCTTGTGTGTGTGTTATATTTTCAGCTTCATTGGACTCAGTCCGCTTGAAAGTGTTGGAGATGGGGTTCATTTTCTTCAGGTAAACAAAGGCAGTGGGACACACACAGGCGCACTGAGTAGGCGCAATGGATATACTCTAGTGTGAAAGAGCATCAGGTGTGTGTGTAAACACAGCTTTCTCCATACGCCATATGGACAGATCTCCCGTGACCCGGACAATGTTTTCACCGCTTCGTGACTGGAGCAGGAAAAGGAGAATAGGGGAAGTGTCTTTATGGTGTTTTGGTTTTCTCTGAAAAATAAAAAAGACCTAAGGAACTACTGAATACGTTTTTAAGCTCAGACTTTTTGAACCACAGGATCGACAATTAGCATGTGTTATGTGTCAACATGACCCATGATTTATCAGATGTGAGCGTGGGTGGGGCATTTTGAGGGCATGTGCTGAGTGTGTGACTCCACTTCCTCATCTTATCTCCCCTCCACTGTTTCATATCCTCTTTTGACTGACAGACAGTAGTGAGGGTCTTCTGCAGTCTCGCTTTTCTGTTGAAGAATGGCGTCTCTGCTGCATCTGTGTGCACAAACTGCAGCTGGCCTGTTGTGTGCAGCTGGACAATTTGCTTGTTAGTGTGAACTGCAGGGGTGAAGCTCGCAGTGGGCAGTTGTAGCTTTGTGGAACTTTAGCTCTAACAGGGGCCCACAGTGATTTCATAGCTATCTCTGTATAAAAATGTTCATCTCAGCTATGTTTTTAAGACCTGACTGTTCCCACATTAACACACTTAAAGTTGAAAGTATGACTATATTGTAACAAAGCTTTCAAATTGTATTGTAATTGCCTTAAAAGCTTTTCTTCAAAATAAGCATGTATAAACCAAATATAATATATATATATAATAATCTCAC